GAGAGCAAAGGTAATGCCATCTTCTGAGGTCTCCAGGAAGGATTCCTGTAGGATCTGGGATGTGTGTCTAGATAGAAGATTGACGCTCAGACCATAGCTATCAAGATAAGCCCACAGGCAGGACTCTTTCACAGGGAGACTGGGCTCCTTGGACTGCTGCCTCTTGCTGGGTCCTGGGGCGTGATGGCTATTTAAGAACTCTTTCTCCTTTGGTTACAGTTGTATGGGACCCTTGAGCATAAGCCCCACCAGTCACCAGAGCTAGGTGGTCTAGAGGTGTCCTTGGGTGGCAGCCACAAAGATCAGAGTGTCAGAGGAGGGTCCAAGCTGGAGCAAGATAAAGGAACAGTGCAAAGATGGTGCCTGCCAACCTGCATCCCCAGAGGGACACAGGCAGCCCCCTAGACCTGTGTCCAATGAGCTGCCTACCCTCCAGCTGATGCTTTAAGATCCACAAATAAGCCTCTTTCACACGAGGTCTGGATCCCTCTAAATGGGCTGCCTCCGTGCTGGTCTCTGGGGTGAGTGAGTCCAAACATGCAAGCCCTTTAAGAGCTGCCTCTCAGTTCACTCTCGCCTCGTGGGTCTCAGACATGAACCTCCATTGGTTTTCAAAGTTGGCCTTTTAGGGAGCTTCTCTCTCAGGTGCAGATCTTAAAAGCTGGGGGGATCTGATGGGTTCAAACCCTTTGCTCCTCAGGGGGTAGCTCTGGGTTTTGGGTTCCCTTGTCATTGCTGGTTGCGGGGTGGAGTTTATGTCGAGATTGTGTCTCAGTCTTTGTCACCTGCTTCTGCGTGAATTTTCCCTCATTTGCCTGATATGGAGGAGTTGCTCAGCTAGTTTTTAGGTTTTTTTTCAGAGGAAATTGTTCCACATGTACCTGGAGGTTCAGTGTCTGTGGCAGGAGGTGAATTCAGAATCTTCAGGCATCATCATCTTAAGCCAGAACTTGCCCTTCTCTTTAAATATGGAACATTGGCCACTGTGCCGAGCGCTAGCTGCTCTTTTTTAAGGCACTGAGCTGAGACCAAGGATAAAGTGGGAAAGAACAGACCAGCTCCCGGACTTCATGGAGCTTATAGGTTAGCAAGCAAAAATGAGTATTAAGTTAATTATTACATAATTGAGTAATAAATAGAACTGTGAGTTCTGTGAAGCGGAGTACTAGTCAACTACCTAGTAGGTGATTCCAACCTAGTTGGAGAGCGGGAAGAGTTTCTTGCAAGACTGAGGCCCAGAATGGGGATTGGAAAGGCCAGTCCAAGGACTTGTGTCTCTCGGTGTCTCGGTGTCTCTGTGTAGATCTCCTCATCCTCCCCACCTTCTTGGGTCACTTGCCGTGGTCTCTGGGTCCATTTCTTGACATCGTAATTCCATTCATGACTTGTTTGTTTGTTTTAAAGGAAGTACTGGGGATTAAGCCCAGGACCTCGTGCATGCTAAGCATGTGCTCTACCACTGAGCCTATAGGCCCTCCCTGTGACTCATTCTTAATATTGTCTAATTTCCAACTTGAGTCTTGAGAGACGGAGAGAGGCCCTAACTCAAATTTCTGGGTGTAGATTTCCTTTGGGTGGTGTCAGCTCCAATTCAAAATTAGAGACTCAAGGGGAGGGTGAAATGTTATACATAAGGCTGCTTGGGCAGCAGCAGAAAAAGTCTGGTAATGAGCATTTATTCACTCAACAAGCACTGATTGTGCCAGATGTTGTGGAGGGGAGGTCTGGTCCGTGTGCTCAGGAAGTCTAGTTCCCAGGTAAGGGGATGCATCGTTAAACAGAGGCCTCAGGGCTATCGTAAGGTATGCAAAAAAGAGGGCCCATGGAGATTGTCCCAAGGAGCAAGGCCTGAATGGTATTTGGACAGGTGAGTCCATTAGCCAGGAGAAGGCAAGTCAGGCCAACACTGGGTGCGTTGGAATGAGGATGCCAAGGGGACTTGGAAGATGGCAGAGGAAGCCGTGTGGAGCACACTGAGATTGCCCCGGGGGTTGAGCAGCTGATTGGAGACAGGTTTATGGGCTGAGGTCAAGATGAAGACATGAGTAGAGAGAGGCAACCAAGTGGAGCTTAGAAAATGGGGTAGAGCGATGGTCTTGGTTTTGACACGCACCAGAATCACCTGCGAGGCCTATTGAAACTGATCACCGTCTCTCTCCCTGCTCCCTAAAGTTTCTGATTCAGTAGGTTGGAATTAGAATATGCATTTCTAACAAGCTCCCAGGTGATGACAGCCTACGGATGACACCTGGAGAGCCACTGAATTAGAGGAAGGCAGAAAGGAAGGAGACGGCCAGGAGGCTGTGGTGGATGTCTGGGTGTGAAGGACAATGGCGGCAGAGAAGGATGTATAGCACCAGCCACTGTCCTAATCCCTTTACAGATAATCTCCCATAATCCTTTTAACAACCCTGAAACACCATCCTTGTTCTAGAGTAAATGAAGCACAGACTAAATTCTCTGCCCACGGTCAGTCAGTGACAGGGCCACTGTGTCCAGGCTGCAGACACAAAGCCCGTGTTCTCAGCCACCACGCTGGGTCCAGCAGTGGCTGGTGGCTGGTGGGGGTGGCGGGGGCCCCCACAGCGAGGGAGGGGAGAGAAGTCTCCCGGGGCTTTTAGGCTTCTGATTTGGGCAACAGGGTAGCAGTGGAGCGTGTTCATCTTGAGGGATCTCAGGTCTGTCTTTGGGGTTAGGATGCTATTGTGTGTTGTGCTCTTTCTGAGCGAGCACAGGTACCCAGGGGATACCTGGATCTACGGGCCTGGGGTCCAGGAGAGAGGACCGAATTGGAGAGTTGGAAAGCATCATATGGGTGACGTGTCATGAACCACCAGGAGGAATGAGGCTGGAAGGGGGTGGGGACCTTCCTGAGAAAACTAGCAGCCAAGGGACAGGTGAAGATGAGGCAAAAAGGGAAGGAATGGCCAGAGGTGATACCAAAGATGAGGCATCTGGTTTTAGGGCACGTGAGATGGAGTCAGAAGTACCACGGATGGATGTAGCGGGGGACCTCAGCCAGGACAATCTCGGTGGACTAGTGTTAATGGGAGCCAGCAAGACAGGGAGGGATGGTGCGAGGTGAGAAAGTGGAGGGAAGAGGTGATGGGTACTCTGCTCAGAAGCTTGCCCATGAAAGGGAGGAGGCTGAGAGCTAAAGAGATAAGCAAACAGCAAGGACATTGAAAATGACTGGCAAGAACTCAGATACTGATGGCCAAAGGGATGTGTGGTCAGAAGCGTCAGGAGGGCACCTCAGAGGGTGGTCAAGAGGGCATTACCCCGAAAAGTGTCTGGAGGGCATGGGGGGCACGGCAGGGGGCAGTCAGGAGGGCTCCGCTGAGCGTAGGGGTTGACAGGAGCTGGGGTCAGTATTCAGGAACTGTTTCTGTTGTTTTGGAGCAAGTTTTAGCTCCTACTGACGGGGCTGAGTTTGAGTGTGAAGGGGTTGAGATGAGGCCCCGGCACCGACTCTTGCCGCCTGTAGCAAGTTTGGGAAGACCTGGCCCTTTCACTGGCCTGGCTTTGGTGCCAGCTTTGCCCATCATTTATCTGTGGTCTCCAGGTCAAGCGTCTGGTTATCATACTTCTTACTCAAACGACTGTCGAACAGAAAAAGGCAGAGATGTTCTGGTGGAAAGAAGCCAGGAGGTTGGGCTCGGCCTCATCCTGCTCTGCCCTCCCTCCGCGTGTTCCCGAAGTCCAGGGCCGTGTAGAGCAGTCTGAGCAGCCCTGGGCAGGAAGCTGTCGAGTCACCTCCAAGCCTACGGTCTCGGGGTGCTTCAAAAGCCTTTAAGTCAGCGAACACCCAGGACCTTCCTCAGCGGTGTGCTCGCTGGTCAGCTGTCCAGAGGTGCCGGAAACAGGTGTATAGGGAGTAAGGGAGGGGACAGAGAACCCCTGGGGAGGCTGTGCCACAGGGCTAGGCACACAGGGTAGCCTCAGTCCTGGCCTCAGAGCTGAGTCAGCGATGTGCAGGACATCCTCAGGGAGGGCCTAGTTACCACTTGTCTCCCAGACTGCTAAGCCTGAGACCTGTCGTGCTTAGCTTCATCCTCGTTTCCTTATGCTGGGCTGAACAACTCTTTAAAAATGACCTGCCACAAAAAAAAAAAAAAAGAAAAAGAAAAAGGTGGGGTGGGAGGTAGGGGAGTGAGGAAAATAGCTCAGTGGTAGAGAGCATGCCTAGCATGCACGAGGGCACGAGGGCCTGGGTTCAATCCCCAGTACCTCCATTTAAAAAAAAAAAGAAAAAAAAATGACTTCCCTCCACTCCAAGCATAGAGATCATTCTAGAGGAAAGCACCCCAAGACAAGACGGGAGGACCTGGTGGGTTGGGTTTGGAAGGCACAGACCTCCTGCCTTCCCAGCTCCCCTCGCAGGAGAGGCTGGAGGCAATGACCCGCCAGCATGTGGGAGTCACCTGTTGCCCTCCCACCTGCACATGGACATGAGCAGCACAAGAGGGATAAGCAATGAATTAGGCTTTTCAGAGGAGAACAAACAACTTGAACCCCATCTACGATCATCTGGCTGATCGTGTTTTTGTTTGGAGCCAGACGTAAGGACTCATTGTATCTGCTTGAAGCAAGGACAGCCTTGAAGTGTAGGGAGTTAACAGCACTCAGGATGGATTACTGAGCGATGGGGCCTTTTACACTAACTCTTCAAAAGCAGGGAGGATTCTTAGACTTGACCCTGAAGTAAACAGCTCTTTCACCTTTGTATTCCTAAGTACCCTCTGGCACATCACCACTCTGAAGCGGAGCTGTCTGATGCTGTGCCAGGAGGAGCAGGATACGTGGAAGGGAGAACACTGCGAGATGCACATGTGCCCTGATTGACTGTGGAGACGTCGGTTTCTGCTTCTCAAACTTTGGTCTAGACACACATGGGGCTGTAGTGGTGGTGATCTGAGAAACTGCAGGTGGGACTGTGACCAGGATGGGCAGAGGAGGGTCTCTCTCCTCTGAGGGTCTGAAAGTTCTTTATGTGACAGGTATGTCCATCAAGAAGCAAGATGTGAAGGCAGCAGGTGGAGCTGCAGCCACAGCACCTGTGGGAGCCCATGGGAACGTGGGTCAGGTAAGCTCACCTACTCAGACTACAAGAATGTGGGCAGAAAGCTTCCTCTTAACCCAGGGTTCTCAAACTTGAATGTGAATCAGAATCACCCGGGGACTTACTGAACCGCTGGTTGGGTAGCTCCTGGCTCAGCATTTGCTGTTATAAGTTCCCAGGTGATGCTGAACTGACAGCCAGGGATGTATGTGTGGGGAACCACCGTTCCAGCTGGACCCCGCACAGATATCTGCACCCCAGAAGTGATGCGGGCACTAGACAAGTTCCATTATAATAGCCATCTTTATTTGTAAAAATCCGGATATAAAATGTATTCTCTCAGTCTTTCCAAGTTTTCCTTTTTACAAAAACAAAAAGGCACGTGAAACTTTCCTCGCAGTCGTTCCCAGACGATGTTTCTCAGGCAGCCCTCCCCACCCCCCCGCCCCCGCCCCCCATTTAGCCACATGCTTCATTCCAGGACATCTGGCTCCCCCACATGCTTCGGTGCTTTCCTACCAGGGTGGAATTCCGGGACTGAAGTACACAAAAAGGGGGTGGGTGGTGGGTGCAGAGTGTGTGGCGTAATGCTCCGAGGCGTGCAGGAGGGGGTCTAGTAGTAGGTTTCCTTCTCCACCCAGCCTGCGGGCAGCAGAGAGACAGAGAGAGGCTTCAGTCAGTCTTCCTCCCCCGGGAAGGGAGGGAAAGACAAGAAGAATGGGCCAATGGGGCAGGGGGTGAGGTGTTTAACCAAATTCAATATGCGACCCTTGACTGTATTTAGTTAAGTGTTTTTAAGAGGAATGTGTTAATTGGAGAGATGGTTTGGATTTCGGACCAAGTTTCCACTGCGTCCTATTTGGTTTGTGTTTGGTCAGTTCTGATTCCTCAGCTGGGAGCTCCGCGCTGAGGATGGGCTGTCCCGGGAGTCAGTTTACCGCTGGCTTCCAATAGACTTACTTAGCCAAGCAGGCTGACTGTGGAGGAGCCCAGACATTTCAAAAGGAAATGTAGCAAAAGCCAGCAGAACTGCAGCTGGGCCCCCCCCCGCCCTCCCCCTAACTAAAAATGCCTGTACTTACCGCCAGGGCGTCGCCTGATGATGAGTTTTCTGACTTCATCATACACGAAGATGAGAAGAGAGTAGGGGAAGGCACAGAACCACCAGGTAGGTCTGGAAATGGAATCAGGGGCCAATTTACACGTGAACACGAGTCAAAGGAAGAAAGAGGAACCGCGCATCAGCACACTGACAACGAGGAGAACCAGCCC